CCCGACATCCCTTTGCTAATTATCGAATAGCTTGAAAAGTATATGTTGGATTAACTTAAAATTTTCAGAGAATATTTCTAAGATATTAAACTTTAAAATGCAAAAAGTTGAGTTTTGGAAAATTCTAACTACCCAACCCCTTAAGTCAGTTATTGATCCCTTTTACACTAGTAAACACCTTGGTTGGTTTGATTATTTTTTGTTTTCCCATTATTCCAATCTCTTTCTTTTAAATAAATAATTTTACAATTATTACTTTTTTGATTATATGTCTACTAAATGCTTCCCTTTTCACCAGCTTGTGAATTAGCTTGCGTTTGAAGATTGCATTGTTGTTGTAGATATTCTTTTTTTTTACTGCTATTGCAAGTGAATCGCCGATGAGTCAGTGGACAGTAATGCTGTCTAGTAAGTCCCCAGTCAACTTTAGCAAACAATCCAGTGCACTCATAGCCGTCGATTAACATTTGCTTGAAATTCCAATGAAATTGTATACCCACTTGTCTCTTCAACTTCACACTTACACACACACATTCGTATGTTATCCAAGCAATTTTTGCACTTTTGTCTACAGTCTGGTAGCTTTATGGGTTGAGTTAAAATGGGGCCGCGTGGTTATTACATTTATAAGGCGCAATCCGTCGCTCTTCTTCATAATCGCTGATTTATAAAGTTGTCATCTTACATTTAGATATGAATTTGCCTAGACCTAGTATACATTTTTTGTATTTGTGGGGCCATTGATCTCAGTGGAAATATGTTAATAATCTGGCAGCCTACTGTCATGTGTGTACGTATCTATGTGTGTATTTGTCTTTCTTCTTTATTGTACCTGCAGCTTTCTTGGCTAGTCGAGCAGTTTGATCCCACAATTTGGTAATTTTTGCGGTATGTTTCGGATCGTTAGTCTGTATGAAAATATCTTTTTGCCCACGTTCGAGTCCGAGTATATTCAGATTTGGAAGACATGAGACCTCCAGAATATCAATATAGTCTATGGCACGCCTTGTACCATCATCCACCGAAGTACACGCAGCTCATTTTCGCAAAAACACTCCAAAACCATCAAATTTCATTGTTTGGCGTATGTTGCGATCATGTACACCAAACTGTTTGTAAATCCATGTCTATTCGCACCTATATGATCCTATTCGATTAATTTTGTTTTCATCGGAGCAGGTAACTTTCTTCCAATAATTGATGGTGAAGTGTTTATATTTGGTGGCGAACTCTAATCGAGGCTTACGGTGCTTACCAATTAAGTTATTTTTCAGGCATCTGCGTATTCTTTCACTGACATTTACTCCTTGGAGCTCTTTAATGACTTTATTAGTTTCCACAGCGGTTTTTGTTGCTCCTGCAGCAACAGTTGGGGCACTTCCTGCAGATAGCCTCCACCCCTTCGTGCCATTATTAATCATTTTATTGATAGGTCGAAGAGAAATGTAAATTTTTTAGCGATTTCTGGATAAGAAACATAATTTTTTGTATCTTCCAGCACGTTTTTCTCCAAAGTAGAATTTACGGCTTTTCCCACCATAAGACAACTAAAAAGTTTTTAAACTGCTATATTTCATATTTTTTGGGTTATAAATAATTAAAAAGATTATATTTATCTTTCTCGTATTAAACTTGAACTTCTTTATTTTGCCCTCAATTTAACCCCGAACAAAACTGTTTACACGCTCATTCTGTTTGCTTCTATTCAAAAAAATAGTAAAAGTCCCGTTACTTCTAAAAAAGCATTACCAGCTGGTAATTAATGCACTACTTAAGAGTTTAAAATAGAGAAATATTGCCAGACTGATATCAATTTGATCAATAACAAGCGACTAACTATCTACGTATGTATATTCGTGATTCGTGATTTGTCTCTTACTGTACTTACACTGCGCGCCACCAAAACCTGTAGTTACTTTATTGTTTTGTGATTTTATCATCTTTGTATGAATAGTTATTGGTAAAGAGGACATGCAATAAGAATGATACCGTTATACCATTTTGCTATTTTCTGTTTTTTTTTAGTCAAAAAGTATACTTTATTTTGCTTCATCAGGTTAGCACAAGCAATTTGTCTTGCATTTATCTTCGGAGTTTGAATACTTATTCACACCAAATATTTTCTATTATTCAAGTGCTGTATTGTCTTTAATATGGGTAAAGGAGAATCGCTCTCGGTTGTAGGAAAATTAATAATACAATTTCTTGCATAATAAGTCGGGGTATAGTCGAAATAATAAAATGATTTCCGTTGTTGACAACTGAGCAATGTAGAGAAAAGCATCCAAGCCTCATTCATCGACCGACAAGATCCGCGTTTTAAAATGAGCTTATATATTACAGCTAACAGGGTGATAAGAAATGCTCTATATTTAAAGTTATTAAAACTAAAGAAAAAGCCACAACTTAACTATGCTCGAAGAGAAACACGATTAGATTTTCCACCGGAGCACAAGTCCTGCAAGTTGCTTGGCGTTACGTTGTCTTTTCTGATGAAACGATATTTAAATTGAAAGGGTATGATGGATACATTTATTAATTCCATGATCGTCGAAAGGAGAAACATTAGCTGGAACGACTGCATAGTCGTGTAAGAAAATTTCCACGATACGATAGTACACCGATTCACACTGTCTGGGGCTTAAAGTCTGGGATTGAAGGAAAAAACGTCGGAAACATGCAGGACCGCTTAAATAGAAATTAATTGAAGATATTAAAAGTGCTTGGTGTATAATTTTCTTAAATTATATTGTAAAATTGTACAAATCGCTACCCAATCGGATTCTTGAGATCATTCCCAACAAGGCGAAGTTGACTTATTATTAAAATAAAACACAAGTGTTCAAATTAATTAATATATAATATAAGTTTAAAAAATGTTGTTGTTTAAAAATGTTAAAAAATACGGAAACAAGAAAAAACGTTAACTCCGAAGTTATAATACAAAGGTTCCTTACAAGAACTTGATTCCGATTTAATTTCGTGAAGATACCTCGTCAAATAAAAAGTTTTCCATGCAAGCACTTGATTCCAATTGTTCAGTTTGTATGGCAGTTATATGCTATAGTGCTCCGATATCGGCCGTTCCGACAAATGGACCGTTTCTTAGTGAGGAAAGAACAGTTGCAACATCTCAAATCGATAGCTTAAAATTTGAGGGACTAGTTTGGGTGTATACAGACAGACATTTATGTATATATTTTATAGGATCTGTGGCGTTTCCTTCTGGGTGTTACAAACTTCGTGGCAAACTTATAAACAACTCTGTTCAGGGTATAAAAACTTTTTAATTCTGTGGTGTGGTAACCTGATGAGTTTTTTGAACAGTTTAGTATACAATTTTTTACATTGTTAATTCTTGTTGCGCATAAATGCAAGAAATCCCTTGCCGCCTTTTCTAACGGATAACGAGCTTAATATTGGTTCCCGACCATTGTTGTTGTTGCAAATTATTATATTATATATGTGTTATTTCCAAAAACAGCCTTTATAAAAGATACCGTTCATTTACATGCTAGTAATGAAATAAAGTATTCCTATCGTCAATATGTTAAATATAGCAACAGATCTAGAAAGAGCAATATTTTGTACTATTAATGAAGTGTAGCATTAATTGCTTCCAATTAGTTAGTGAAATTTCATTTGCATTGAGCAAGCTTACGATTATTATTAGCGCTATTTCTTCGACATCAAATTGCCACTAATTATTGTTCACACTTTCCACTATTAATTATTTATATATACTATATAATGCAAGCGCAATGTCACAATTTACATATATGCAGAGTTAAAAATAATTATTTTTAAAAATAAAAATAATTTGTCTTCTTTATTGAAGACTCATTTACCGAAGAGTGACATGTGGCCGGGGAAAATCGTTATAGGAGAGGCACAGTGATGGGTGGAAGCTAGGAAGGGAAGTCTTCTGTAAGGAGCTCTCCGCTTTTAGCTTTGGGCTCCCGTACTATTATACTGTCTTTCAGGCAGAAGTGGCTGTTATTAAAGTAGAAGTAGACTTACTGTTTTGAAGTGCAGCTTCTTTGAAGGAGGTGAGAATTCACTGCGACAGCAGAACGGCAATACTAGCGATAAGCTAGCAAACTATGCGCTAAAAGTTAGTCAAGAACTTTCTAAACTCACTAGATATAGCATCAATCTACTTCGTTATCTAACTCGTTTGGGTGCCTGGCCATAGCGGAATCGCTGAAAACTGCAAAGCCGATGAGCTAGCAACAGAGGTATCTTTACCCCGCTCACATTGGAATGGGAACGAGTTGGATGCCCATTGTCATCCTGCATTCTAGCACATAGGACCTCGCGAGCGCTTAGTCGCCTCTGCGCGACTGCGAGATCCTTTTCAGAGATCTACTGTACTACTTACTCTTAGCATAGTTCACCTTGCCGAAATCGTAGGAGTTCTTACTGAACATTGCCAATAGACATTCATGCTGTAAGACTACTATTCAATCGGACCCAAACTGTCGAAATTTGTATGGAAGAAGATTAGATGAAAACAAACAGGCACTCCCTCATCCATTGTCCAGCTTTTACAAGACTGACTCGGCAGTCATACCTTTGGCGAACCAGGAGACATAGCCTCAAAGCGCTTTGTCGATTTGTGAGGGTCTTTTTGACCACTTTTATAGAAGCTTTGGGATCCAGCAATTGAAATCCCTATTAAGATCGACCATGTAACCTAACCTAAGTGAATGGGACTCAATGATTGAGTGCTAATGAGTGTAGTTTATTCAACTGCATTAAAAATTTTTCTTTGATCTTTATAAACACTGCTTTATAAAAAAAAAATAATATCGAATTCTGAGATCACAAAATTCCTCAATTATACGTGACATTTTAATAAAATATTGTTCTTTTTCATAATGCTAAAACGAATGTTAAAACACTGGCTTTGTTATAGATATTTCTAATTTAGTTTGTCTTAATTATTAATGACTCGTTATTTTATAGAATTTTCAGTAACCAATTTCATTTCTTTTCAGGTAAGCTGCACGATTAAGTGAGTATTTGCTGACTTATCTAAGATACCCATTTACACCCATGCTTGTCAATGTATCGCTAAATATGTACGAAATCGAAGTGATATACATATAGAAAATAATATTTGATATATTTTCAAAATATTAAATAACATGACAATAATAAACGTTTGCCAGAATTTATGATTCTTCATGGAGTCTCTAAAAAAAAAGAAATACTATTCATTAAAAACCTGGGTATACCACACAATCCTTAGCAACTACATATATTTACCTTTTAAACCGATTCATTTAGTGATGTATGATTTTCATTTATGTATGGATTTACCGATTACCGTTCTCATATCTATATATGTGTTTAACCTTTAGCAGTTTAGCAGGTTGGGCTAACAGATGCCAGGGGAGCATCTGCTCAAATTTGACCCGCGCTGCAAAAAATATATTTGCACCCATTTTAATTAAAATCTTAATTATTTTTTTATTTATCGGTTGGGTTTTTTGATTTCGGTACATTTTTAGAGCGCCATTCGCTAAGTTGTCACCAGGTATGATGATGTGTTTGATGCATATAGAGTCTTCAGCTGCGTTGTCAAGCATCTCTTTTACGACCTCTACTCGATCTCCCCAATTAACGACCTTCACTGAATGTTTTGTGCCACTCAAATACTTGTGTTCGTGAAAAAGTAGAAAAGGCAAAAGGTATTTGCTCAAAATGGAGAATATTTATTTTGATAAAATTTTTTACACAATAAAAAAATCTTGCTTAAATTGCGCCTAAAAAAAGGAAATACTTAGTTGAAGACCCAATAATTGTCATATGGAGATCAAACTTTACACGAATTGAAAAAAGGTTGTACAAAATTAGGAAACAATTTGATTAGCTCGCGTAGTTTAACTGAACTAGTCCGGGTAATAATTGATAAATGCTGCATATTTTATATTTACATAGGACGGCTGTCCGTCATATCTTATATATATAAATTGAAAAACAAGGAAACGTTAAATTTTATAGCACCCATAACAAATAACAGATTCCATACAATGACATAACTTTGATCCTTCAGTTTGTATGACAGCTAAGTATGTAAGCTACGGTCTGATATCGGCGATTCCGAGCTTCAATATCGATATCTTAAAAACTGAGGGACTAGTTCGTGTATATACGGCAGACGGACAGACGGCAAGCCCTATATTTCGAATATTTTTATTCAGAACCAAAAATAACTACATACAAATATATGTAGTACAAATAATTTTTTTTGGGTCAAATTTATGTCGACGCTGTCGGTTTTTATTAATTTTCACTACGACACGCAGGTCAAAAGGGTCAACGGCTCATGGCGTTTCGCTTCTTTATTATTATCTTTATGTTTTTATATTCACTTTTATTGTCGTGTCGAGCTTATTTTATGCACACATCACTTTTTACATACATCCATCTTTCTAATATTTCGATTAATTGAATTGAAAGCGCACTTGGATGCGTAATTAAATTTTAATTGCCATGCCGTGCAGCAAAATATTGTCGCAAAATTGAATTTAAATTAAAGAATGCAAGCCAAAAACAATAATTTAAAATATAAATAAAATAAATTGATATCCGTGATGGTGTGTGTTTTATGAATTTACTGTAAATTATTTTATTCCCTTGTCTCTTTCTGTTGCTTCAATTGTGCTATAGTTCATCACCTGTCATTTTCTCTCTCTGCCTTCTTGTGTACACATGATACAAAGCAAACAAACTCCGACGATTTTGCCAAACTTCTACATTATTTGATGGCGACAGAGCACAGAGGTCAAAAAGACAGTCAGAAAATAGAACACCGTCAAAATATGCGTACGTGAGGAAAAAGTGGGCGCCAGCAGTACAGACAGCGCCGTTGAATCGATACACTGAAAGGGTGGGCCGCGAAAATGCACACACACATCTTTCGTTCCACACGTTGTTGTTGCTTACACAAAGTCCCTTGTGCCTCACTCGGTCGCAAAATAGCCACATGCCACTTTAGGTTTTCACTACTCGACAAACACAAATAAGTATTTTTCCAACCACCTTCTCCTTCGTTTGTTTCATAACCCAGTCATTGCGTGCGTGGAGAAACAAAAGCGAATGAAAACACCAAAAACTAATAAACAATTCACGCTTACATAATCTCAACAAGTTTTGCGTGCCTATGTGTCTCGATATATATTCGGTGTGTAGGCGCCTGAATATCCATAACTTTTTTACTCAGATACATAACAAAGCTGAACATTCTTACTATTGCTTTTGATTATAACTTTATAATATTTGTTAGATGGTTAAGAGCATTAAAATTGATTGAATGTACCCACTGAAATGGTCATATCGAAGTTTCAATTCAAACAGCATTGATGTTAGTCCAAGGCGAGGTTTAGGATTTTTACACTTTCGTAACATTTTGGTAGGTTAGGTTAGGTTAAGAGATCGATCCTAACAAACATCTCCCTTGACAACTTGGAACGCCGAGCGGTTGTGGTACCTGTAACTTCTATATTATAGATAATAAGACCCTAACAAATGGATAAAGTGTTTTGAGCCTGTTTCATAAATTTGTTGAGACTAGTAATGTCAATTTCGGCTATGTTCCCTGGCACTTTACACGCACAGGAGCGTTTCGGCGGTTCCGTGTTAGAACGCAATATACTAATGGAGATCCTACTCGGTCCCGTTCCGATGTGAGCGGGGCAACTCTAGTACAAAGTGTTGGTAAAGAGTATTATATTTTTTTACGGTTGTTTGTAACACTTCAAACTAATCGACATGGATGTCTTGACGAGACGATTTGAATTTCGGTTGACTGTCTCTCCGTCTGTCTGTCGGTGCAAGCAAATACTTGAGTTCTAATCTAGATATCCAAATAAAACTTGGTACACGTGTTCCTTGGCACCATAAAAAGGTCGGTCTTGCAACATAACTCTAACTGAAAGTGTCTAAGAAGTGCGCATGGCCACATAACCTAATAGGTTGAACCCACATAGTTTATACTCCTGAACCATTAAAGTTAAATCAATCAGACATGCAGACGCTCCTCTTTTTTCTAGCCATAGCTGTATATTGCATATCTAATTATACTTCTAATTGACCCTCTATTAATTACTCCAGATTACTCTCAAATGTAGTATATTAAGGTGGTGCCGAAGAGGAAAGCTTTTGGTATTTGAAAAGAGATTGTCATGAAGTCGACCAATAATATTTTCAGAAACTCTAAAGCAGCAATTTTTCACATTTTCTAATATACGGTATAACAATGAAGAAAACTGGTACGATGACTTTTCACTTATCTGAGGTCACTGCAACCTGCCTATTAAGCTTTACAGAAAATGAAAAAGCAAATACAACACCACGGAAGTGAACGTGCAATAAATGCGCCACTGCACACGAGCAACTTCGCGATATGTGACCCAATTTGGTAACGAAACAAGGCACAGCGCTGGCGGTAATCACCAACAACAAAACGTCAGAAGTGGAAACTTTGCGACTTGCAACATTGCGAACCAGCTAATTTTAGCAAAGAGCGAGTGGTGTAGACCTTGTGACGGCGTTGTTGACAAAGCGCTGAAAAAAAATCAAAGACAGAAGCAAAAGTAAAAACAATAAATAGCAATATCACAGCACGTGCAGCCTGAATCTCGTAAACGCGAAGTTGAAGAAAACGCACACGAGTGTAAACAAAGGAAAGAAGAAAATTCGCTCAGCTGACGAACACAGGAAAATGTAAATAAAAGGCAAACGAGGAATGTTGCCGAACATCTCGCCAGCAACATGATGCCAAGTGTGCTTGCAGCAGGAAAACAAGTGTGTGCGCGATGTTGCTGTTGTTAATTATGCCCTAATCACGGGCAAATCAAGCGATGCTACAGTAAAATAAGAAAAAAGGTTGCATTGAAGATATAAACCTTCACAAATAAAAAAGATTCCATACAAGAACTCGATTTTGAACGTTCAACTTATACGGCAGCTATATGATATAGTGGTCCAATCTGGAAAATTTCTTCGGATATTCCTGAAGATATCTTGTCAGGTAAAAAAGTTTTCCATACAAGGACATGATTTGGTTCGTTCAGTTTGTATCGCAACTAAATGTTATAGTGGTCCTATAACGGCGGTTCCGACTAACGAGAAGCTGCTTGGGGAGAAAAGGACGTGTGCAAAATTCCAGATTGATAGCTCAAAAATTGAGGAAACAGTTCGCGTATATACAGCGTACATCATGCATATCATTTATATACAATAATATTACAAATTTCGTCAAACTTAACATAACCTGTTCAGGGTATAAAAAAATTACATTGTAAAAAAAAAAATAAAAAACCTTAGCAGAATTGCCGCACGAATGCATTTGCAACTTGCCGAACTGCGAAGGCGGCTGCCAAGCACGAAAAAATTGGGTGAAAACAACAACACAAACCATCCGTTGGCTGTTGCCAGATTATAACTGCATTGTTACATCGTCGAACCGGTGGGTGAATGAACTCTAAAAAAGTTCAGTTGAGAAAATAAAACTTGAGGCAACAACAACTGTAACGTGTAAACACACACTGGTGGCAGAAATAATAGGGACGAACCCATTGACTAAGTTTAAAGCCAAAAAAAATCCCTTTTATAGGTTTCACTAACTAGTCACTATCCTCGATAACAGTACTTTGTGTTCATTCCGGTTTCTGCCAATTATTTTTAGAGTGACGGCGTGAATTTTAACATTTTTTCCGTTGACAGAGTTCTAAGTTGCCATAAATAATACGGACGCTCTTCGTTAATTTATTTAAAATGTTAAATATCGAATAAAAACATGTTAATAACAATTTTTTGGAAAGAATACATTAATTATAAATAATTAAATAAATAATAATCTTGGGTTTGTAATTTGAAAATGAAAATGAAAGGAAAAAAGGTAAAATATTGGTTGTTGTGGTTGTTGTAGCGGCAGAAAACATTGCTGAAGTAATTTCGAGGAATGGTGCCGAGTTGACAGTCCGTGGCCGGATAAAAATTCGTTTCAACTAAATGTTGGTCATTTACGCCAAGTAAAATCCATATGAAACTACTTTTCGAACACACAAAATACTGTTATCCAGCATCGTTGCTGGTGACTAGTCATTAAAACCTACGTACATATGTTAATAAAAGTTTTAAGAAATAAGCCTGTGGGTTGGTTCCTATTACTTCGGCCAACAGTGTAGGTATATGCGAGTAT